ACGACGAACGCACGCGCCGCGCTCGCGACAAAACGCGCTCTAACGTCTCCCGCGAATCGCCGTTTACCTGCCTGTCTTGTCTGCACACACGTCGTCGCAACACGGGGATTACATCCGGATACGGATCGAGTTCGGTCGTCGTCGTTCACCGTTTCCGTGCTCGTCTACGATTCCGGTCCCGTGATCGATTCATACGCGATTATTAATCAACATCGCCTATGATATAAAAACGTGATACGTGAAGGCGAGAGGAATCAGAAATCGCAGGTCGTTGCTGCATGGGCTACTACCTGCCGCCGGTAGATGAACAAGTGTCGTCGACGAGCCGTCACTGTAGAGCACGTTCTCTGGGTTCGGCCCTGCTACACGGGCACGGTGTATCGATTGCTCTAAAATAGACGCGTGGGAACACCTGCAGGCTACATACACACACTCTACACGTACAGTTCATACTGTCTGGCTGTCTCTGTGGCCCTCTCTCTCTCTCTTACTTTCCCTCTGCATCGGTCTTACCTGACGCCCTTGCAGAACGCGTGGCAGGTGCAGGTGCAGCAGCAGCAGCAGTAGCAGCAGCATCGCGCTGTCGTAGGGCTGGAGGTGGAGGAGGTGGTGGAGGTGGAGGCGGAGGTGCAGGTGACCAAGAAGAAACGTAACAGGAAGCGGAAGAAGCGAAACGAAGACGAGAAGAAAGAGAGACAGAGAGAGAGAGGGTAGGACGGAACGGAAGAAATTATCAGAGACAGAGCGTACGTACGTACGTAGGTATATACGTGCGCGCGCGTGCTCGCGAACGGGAAGGAAAGGAGGGAAAGGTGGAGAAGGAGGAAGGAGGCGATACGCCTGGGTTTCTCGCGAGAAAAGGGTTATTTCCAGTGATACGTCCTGGAGGCGCCTGTCGTCTTCGCCGGTACAACCATAACGCCGCCCGCTTTAAAACGCCCGAGACGGGATACGGTGGACTCATCGCCGCCACCCGCTCGAACCGCAGCCCCCGGAAACCCCGGACCATCCAGCAAACTCGCTTGCATCATGGACGCACCGCTCTCACAGAGTATGGACTCCGTCAACACGGTGGCCACCGGTGAAGACGAGGTACGTTCGCTAACTACTACATCGTACATTGTATCGTTAACGTCGCGCCTGTGCATTACGCACCGTCCACTCTCTCTCTCTCTCTCTCTCTCGCTCTTGTCATGTATATCCACGTATGTATGCATGTATATACGTGTACGTATACCAGAGCTGCCGATCGCTTCCTCGTTTTCACCCTTCTCCCTCTCTCTTATCGTTCGTTGCGCCGCGTTGCACCGCGCCGTGCCGCGCGAGATCGCACGCGTACCTACACACATTTACGCGCACCGAGCATCCGACATACTTCCTTCCTTCCTTCCTTCCCATCAACTTACTTCTGGCAGTTATCCTCTGTCCCACTCCCACGCTCGCCATGTTGCTTGTTGCCTCTCTCTCTCTCTCTCTCTCTCT